AGCTCACCTATAGACGAGGGTCCCAAAACGTTAAGGCAGACGCCCTGTCCCAACTATGACACAGAGGAGAGGTCCATTAAACCCACTCCCATACTCCCGGAGTCTTGTCTGGTGGCACCGGTGGTGTGGGAGGTTGATGCGGAAATCGAGCGGGTGTTACGTTCCGATCCTACTCCTCCACAGTGTCCAGAGTGTCGGAAGTACGTGCCGCTCGAGGTTCGCGATCGTTTGATATACTGGGCTCACACATCACCCTCCTCTGGTCATCCGGGTATTGGTCGGACAGTGCACTGCCTTAGTGGGAAGTACTGGTGGCCAACTTTAGCGAAGGACGTGAGGGTTTATGTTTCCTCCTGCTCGGTGTGCGCCCAGTGTAAGGCGCCTAGACACCTGCCCAGGGGGAAGTTACAACCCTTACCCGTTCCACAACAGCCGTGGTCTCACCTATCGGTGGATTTTGTCACAGACTTTCCCCCCTCCCAGGGGAACACTACGATCTTGGTCGTTGTGGATCGGTTTTCTAAAGCCTGCCATCTCATTCCCCTGCCAGGTCTCCCTACTGCCCTACAAACTGCTGAGGCCCTGTTTACACACGTCTTCCGGCACTATGGGGTGCCTGAGGATATAGTGTCTGATCGGGGTCCCCAGTTCACCTCTAGAGTCTGGAGGGCGTTTATGGAATGTCTGGGGGTCTCGATTAGCCTTACCTCAGGTTTTCACCCTGAGAGTAATGGGCAGGTGGAGAGAGTGAACCAGGATGTGGGTAGGTTTCTGAGGTCGTATTGCCAGGACCGGCAAGAGGAGTGGTCGGGATATATTCCCTGGGCAGAGATAGCCCAAAACTCACTCCGTCATTCGTCCACTAACCTTACGCCTTTCCAGTGTGTGCTAGGTTATCAGCCGGTTCCAGCACCTTGGCATCAGAGCCAGACCGAAGCCCCTGCGGTGGATGAGTAGTTTCGGTGCTCTGAAGAAATTTGGAACGCTGCGCATGTCCATCTGCAGTGGGCTATCAGGCGGCAAAAGGCGAGCGCCGATCGCCACCGCAGTGAGGCTCCGGTGTATGCACCGGGAGATCGGGTCTGGCTCTCGACCCGAAACCTGCCCCTTCGCCTGCCCTGCCGGAAGCTGGGTCGGCGGTTTGTGGGGCCATTTAAAGTCCTGAGGAGACTGAACGAGGTATGCTATAGGTTACAACTGCCCATTAATTACCGCATCAATCCCTCATTCCATGTGTCTCTCCTCAGGCCGGTGGTGGCTGGTCCACTCCAGGAGAGTGAGGTACGAGAGGCTCCTCCGCCCCCGTTGGACATCGAGGGGGCTCCGGCGTACTCAGTCTGTTCCATCTTGGATTCGAGGCGTCGGACGGGGGGCCTGCAGTATCTCGTGGAGTGGGATGGGTACGGTCCGGAGGAACGGTGCTGGGTCCCTAGGAGGGACATCCTAGATCCCTCCCTGTTGAGGGATTTCCACCGGAGTCATCCGACTCGCCCTGCTCCGCGTCCTCCTGGCCGTCCCCGAGGCCGGGGTTGGCGCACTGCTGGAGCCGCGCGTCAAGGGGGGGGGGGGGGGGGGTACTGTCACGGAATCAGCCGAGGCTGCTCCTCCTCCTTGCTCGGGCAGGCTTCGGCGTTCGTCGTCCCCGGAGTACTAGCTGCCACCGATCTATGTTTCTGTGTTTGACTTGTTTTGTCTTGATTGTGTACACCTGTTTCCTATTATGTTGTATTGTATTCCCTATTTAACCCTCTGTCGTTCATTGTGTTGTGTGTGATTGTTCTCGTCATTTTCGGCAGTTGCTAGTGTGCGGGTATTCCCCTCCCTGTTTGGAGGTTGTTTTTGTATTCTGGTTACTTTGTTAGTAAAGTATCGTTTCCAGCAGCTCGGTGTCCTGCGTTTGACTTCGCCTACCGCATTCACGTCGCACTTTGACACTTACTTTCAGTTATTTGAAAAGGAAATAATCTCCCAAATATCACTATTTCTAAAATAAGCCATATAAAGTTGGTTGCAATTTCAATTTAATCCTGTAGAAACGACAGAACAAATAATGCAACAAATATTGTGGTTAAACTCAATTATACTAATTGATAAAAACACATTATCTTTTGAAAAAATGTTTAAAAAAGGTATAATCTTCGTAAATGATATTATAGGTAGGACTGGTGGAGCTATGTCGCACATGCAGCTAACAAAAACATATGGAAATGTCTGCTCTACCCAAAATTGCAGCCAAATCATTGCAGCATTACCGCAAAAATGGAAGAGGAAAGTGAAAGGGGGAAAAAGTAAGGAACTTGTCTGTCGGCCCTGCATTAAAGAACATAATTGGTTAAAGACAATTGTGATGTAAGTCGCTCTGGATAAGAGCGTCTGCTAAATGACTAAAATGTAAATGTAAATAAAAAAAAGTATACCAGTTTCATTTAAGGACCAAAGGATTGACAGCCGTTCCCATATAGATTGCAAAATAGTTGGGAGGAGATTTTTGACGTACCGATTCCATGGCATAGTGTTTATGAACTGATACGCAAAACGACGCCAGATTCAAAACTTATAATTTTTCAATTTAAATTATTATACAAAATTCTTGCTACCAATATAATGTTATTTATATGGGGGATACAATCTTCCCAGCTCAGCAGATTTTGCTGCGAAGCGACAGAATCATTAGATCAATTGATTTGGTACTGTCCATTTGTAGCTTGTTTTTGGTCAAAGTTCCAGGAATGGCTGAAGGATTGCAATATTTACCTGGAGCTAACCCTGCAGATAGCACTACTGGGTGATCTGAAAAGTCATAGTCAATCGATCAATAATATAATAATACTTTTAACAAAAAAAATTATTTCAATTTACAATCTGTAGAAACAATGAGAATAGAAGGATTCAGAACTTTTGTGAAACATCATAATGTATGGCAAATAGAAATCCAATATGGATGGTGTTAAGAGATAGATGGGAGGTGTTGAATGGAGCTGAAGGATGGGGCTAATAACAACTAACAACAACTAATAACAACAAGATAACTAATGTAAAGCATACTGTGTCCATAATAAGTATATAGGTTATAGGATGAGAGCTTTTGTGAAAGAGCACAGTTAGAAAGATATGGCACATAGAAGCAAACCGGATGGACATCATGAAAATGATCGGAGAGGTTGAGGGTAGAGGAAGCTCAGGAGTAAAAATAAACAAAATATAATTATTGTAAAATTGACTGTGTCCATAAAATGTATATAGTATGTATAAGTTGGAAGTAGAGGCCTAAGCGTTGTTGTTCACTAGTTTACTCCAATTAGGGAAGGGGTGGTGGGGTTGAAAAGTAATAAAGGGAAATATATTTTAAAAAAGGATATGTATATGTATGTATATGTATTTATATGTATGTATGTGTATATGTATGTATATATATATATATATATATATATATATATATATATATATATATATATATATTTGCGAGAAAAAAAACATATGGGGGATTGGAAGTGATGCAGACAATTACATTGATGGAAGTTACAATCTATCTGCAATATTAAAGCTGATCTACCCCCCAAAAAACAAAAACAAACATAACAATATATATTTTTTAAATCTTGTAACCCTTTCATGATGAGCATGTCTAAAGGCTGAGCTTGCTTGTTGAAACACAAAATGGACACTTCCAATACAGCATGACAGAGGACTCCAGATGTATTTACATAGTTCACTTGACCTTCTTTTTTTATAACCTTTCCTACATCAATACTGATCTCAAAAGGCTTGAGGGGTGAGAGCGCCTACCAGTGCTCATTAAGGAAAAGGGAGGAAGTACAAGAAGCATTGACAGACTATTATGACACATGATTAATTACTCCCATCAAGTGGTCAAGTATGCAACTACAGTATTATGTTTCTGTAAGTGGAGAGAAAGAAGATCAAGATTTGTGAATTTCAAAATAATATATAAAATATAAATACTTAGGATCTCAAAATAAGGTATGACTACCATATAAGATATTTTCTTCATTCCATAATGATTCAGACTATAACAGCTATTTTCAGTCTGTTTAAAAAGTTTTGCATAAAATATGTTATACAGCCCATTATTAACTAAAGGTTTTCAGTAAGGCATAACTAATGGTCCATAGGCTTTGGGGATCCATAATAAATACAAATACAAATAGGCGTACACATATTTAAATAGAAAATATACCTCTATTGGGCTCGTTACATGGTTATCAAGTTTAAAAGGCATTATATCTATATATCGGTTAGTGTTACAAAACTGTTACAAAGTGTCCTCCCGAGTGGCGCAGTGGTCTAAGGCACTGCATCGCAGTGCTAGCTGTGCCACTAGAGATCCTGGTTCGAATCCAGGCTCTGTCGTAGCCGGCCGCGACCGGGAGACCCAAGGGGCGGCACACAATTGGCCCAGCGTCGTCCAGGGTAGGGGAGGGAATGGTCGGCAGGGATGTAGCCAGTGTAGGGCGTGGTTTAACCAGGGTTGTGGTTCGATTCCAATTGGCAGAGGCTGCCGTGGCCCCTATATACATAGACATGAAATCGCTGGCCACTTTAATAATGTTTACATATTTTTGCTTTACTCATCTCATATGTATATACTGTGTTCTATTCTACTGTATTTTCGTCTATGCCACTCCAACACTGCTCGTCCTAATATTTATATATTTCTTAATTCCATTATTTTCCTTTTAGATTTATGTGTATTGTGTGTATTGTTATGAATTGTTAGATATTACCGCACTGTTGGAGCTAGAAACACAAGCATTTCGCTACACCCGCAATAACATTAGCTAAATATGTGTATGTGGCCAATAACATTTTATTTTATTTTACACGTTTTCATTTTCATCAAAAAACTACTTTATATCCGAGTGCTTTTGATTTGACTGCCCACACATGCACAGTTTGGCGCGAGACGGCCGTTAGACCCAATTACGTATTTCTACGCATGACCTTTGCTAGCCAATCAGGGATTTTTATTGGAGAAGCAGTTTAGCATATCTTCGTACTGTACTGTCTTTGCTGAAGGTGTGCCACCATTCAACATTGCGCGTGCGCTGTTCTACAAATAACGATCCGACGTCATTCAATAATTTTTATTGTCAAATCAGGTCGCTTCTGACATGGACTCTGCACTGAATTTAGGCACTGTGTTTGTGACATTTCTCAGCGACTTCAAAAGTGTAGTTCTTGTGTGAGCTTCAAGAAGTTTGTTACCGCGTCTTCTCTGCTTATTAGGGTACCTTGTTTCAGTGATGGCATTGCATGGCAAAGTGGCTTTAGTGACTGGTGCGGCGCAAGGTTTGGGAAAAGGTTTCTCAGAAATTCTTCTACAAAACGGAGCAAAGGTAAGAGTGCGCATCAGTGTTGTCAATCAATGAAACTGTGTTTTGTTTTTTAATGTCAAAATACAGGCTACAATATGTGTTACGTTTTGTAAATGAATTCTAATATTAAAAGAAAATAACGTAATCAAAATATATTTATTCGATGTTACATGATTTTCTTTAGTGTAAAAGTAATCTATTGGTGGTCTTGTATGTTTAGGTAGCCCTGTTGGATATAAATGAATCAGGAGGGAAGGATTTGAAGGCTGCCTTTGATAAGGAATATGGACCAGACAGAACACTGTTTCTAACCTGCACTGTTGAATCAGAGGAACAACTAAAAGGTAAATTATCACCCACATCACGCTTCAAGGAAATAACCACAACTGACCATATCCATTCTGTTCAGCATTACCTCCAACACTGGTAGTGATTTCAGATCATGTTGATTAACAAAGATAAATGTTAGGCTACAATTATCGACTTGCCACAACTGAAGTTTCCTCTGGGGAAAATACAATTATTCTCATCTTTCTTTAAATCTGGTTGGAATATGCTTGAGGAACTTTGAGCAGCAATTGGGTTTTACTTTACACACAAACTCCAGTGAGTCATATAGACTACAGTAAGCCTACATTCAGGCTGAAAGGGTGGACTTCCTTTTCTGCTGCATTCTTTTGTGCTTTCTTAGGCACACTAATTCCTCGGAGCAGAACAGTTGTTAATGTAATGTATGGACAAATAACCCTCAAATCAACCGAGTGGTTACAATGTATTACTCAGTAGATTCAAAAAGAAGCTGATACAGTATCTTTGTCAACATAAAGTTCTGACACAGTAATACCGGGTAGGACTTCCCTTCACTTAAGGGTGTGTTCGTAAATTCGCACTGGCTGTCTACTCTGATTTCAGAGCACTCTCGTCTGAGTGTGCCAGAGCGCAGAATAACTGATGAATTTACGAACGCTCAAAACCCGTTGAATATGGCCGGTGTCAGTAAACATCGCCAAAAGCGTAATTCAATTGTTTTCAGCAGTGCAGTTAGTCACCAACGCTCTGAATTTACGAACACCCAGAGCGCTCTCTGGCACTCTAGATTGAATTTACTAACTCACCCAAAATAACAAGTGAGAAGTAACTCACTCACACCTTTTTCTTCACTTTGCAACTCACAGTGACATTTCTATTTATATTCTGTTGACAGATGCCTTTCAGAAAACGGTAGAGACGTTTGGGGGCTTAGACATCGTCTGCAACAACGCTGGTATCATCAATGAGAAGAACTGGGAGAAATGTGTTTCTATAAATCTTGTAAGATGGAGGAAGTATTTTTTCTGTTGCATTATTACTGAGTTTCCTCTAACTGTTTAGGGAAGCTGTTGCCACAAACAATGTTGGTGGTTAGCTGAGCAGTCTGAAAAAGTGTCTGGCTTTGGCTAATAACTTCTGGTAAAACAACACCTTGAATTGCAACAACAGTTCTCAATGATCTTCATTCCAAATCATGTATGAATTCAATATTTGGGCTATGATATGCCGGTATATAAGATTATACACGACATAACTCATCTTGTCTAGCTAAGATACACACCATACATATAGAAAACATATGTTTGTTAAATGGTTGTTATGAATATGTATTGTCATTGCTCTTCTGTTTATAGGACTATGATTGTTTTATGGCTGTTCTTTTCTTATTTTTAATCTTTTATGGCTCTTAAATGTTTTATACCTTGTTTTTATTTTGTAGTACTCTCTTTAAATTTTAGGATTATTTCCATTCCATAATGTTAAGCACTTTGGGCTGCTGTACTGTTATGATAATCCAGGATTCATTGTGAGCCCTACAGAATGGAGTGGTGAGAGGCACATATCTTGCCCTCCAGCACATGAAAAAGGAGAACAGAGGGCAGGGAGGGGTCATCGTCAATGTAGCGTCTATGGCAGGTGCAGTGTCCATTTATTTATATTTATTCCATTAATTGACTTTCACGTCAGTTACTTTTCACTTCAGTTGTTATAGTGACAATTCAAGAGTTCTTTGGCTGACTCTCGATTCCCAAATGGCACCCTATTCACTATATAGTGCACAACTATGGGCCCTGGTCAAGTAGTGCACTAAATAGGGAATAGTGTGCCGTTTGGGATTCAGCCCTTGTGTCTTCTGTTCTGACATCTGACTGAAATTATGTTTCTCCCCCTTTCCATAGGTCTGGGTCCTCTGATGACTGCTCCCATCTATACAGCCACCAAACACGGGGTGGTGGGGTTCAGCCGGGCTATGGCGGTATGTCCCTCTTAGAATCAGGAATTGGTGTGCTTGACTCTAATGGTCTTTAGCAGCTGCAGAGGTCAAACTAAACGGATGTGTTTCGGCAAAGTTTCTCTCCTCCCAGGAGTTAGAAACTGATCATAGGGTTCCGAGGTAGGAGGATTGGGAAAAGCATATGGCCAGGAGTTTCCCCAGTTATAGGTTCTAACTAGGGCCTTGAGTTTTTCCTTGCCAGGCCACATGGGCAGGAAAAACTCAGGGTTCTAGGCATGGGGGCATAGACATAGATGATGGGGGCATAGACAATTGCTCGGTGTGACTTCACATACTTCTGTTTTAATCATGCACTGTATGAAGTCAATTGATTCCAAAGAGCCAGAGTATGTAGATTATCAGACTAAGGCACACAATTATGATTTGTCCCAAATGGGGCATCCCTATGGGCCCTGGTCAAAAGTAGTGTACAATAGGGTGCCATTTGGGATGCAACATAGGTTTGATTGAGATAATTCAGAGATTTCCCATGATGCACTTCAGTATCTGTGAGTAAAAGCAGACATCAGATTAGAAAGAGGATCCCTTATCTCTCTGCAGCACAGACAACGAGGGTGACAAAAACGCCATCTTCTCCTTTTCCTGCTATATGTCGCATCAGTTTCATCAGCAGCTGTGGCATTTGCATCGTAATTCTGAGAGAACGTGGTAGCAGGACATTTCGTCATTTGTACAGGAAAACCACAACAGAAATAACAGCAGAACGTTAAGAGTTCCTCATGCTCAATTGAGGTTCCCTGTGTCAGTGGACAGTAGGCAGGGACTGATGCTTGTTTGTGTTCTGACAGGATGTCTCCCGTGTGTGCGACTACGGGGTGCGAATTAACGTCCTCTGCCCTGCGTTCGTCCAAACCGCCATCCTCGCCTCCCTGAGCTCAGAGGAGACTGCGGGACAGTTTGCCGGTCTGAGGGGCGTGGCAGAGAAACTACTGGAACAGTTTGGTGTGCTTGAGTGAGTCTGTCCTCCCCAGCCCCTTTCATTAGATGATGTTTAGAGCAGTAAACTCACAAGCTACAGTGTTGTGATGATTTTACACAATGACAGTATGCTACAAAGTAGGCTGCACATTTGCATCCCACAAACAAACAGATGTTAATACCTCGCATTGTTTGTAAGACAGTCAACGGATAACAATGCACACTCCCAGAGAATTCACTATTAACAACAGGGGCCTGTCAGTGTTGCAACCTGTAGGCAGGTGTGTGCGCTCTGTGCTCACTGGTAGGTAGGGAAGAGAGGAGCGGGTTGGTCTCTGTTTTACGGTATGCTAAGGACATGTTGTCACATGTTTCGTTTCAGAGTCTCTGAGGTAGCCAAGAACTTCTTGAAGCTGGTGACGGACGAGAGTCGAAACGGAGAGGCCCTTTCGGTATTGAAGGAGGGAGCTTCATACGTAACGTTTCCCCAAGCGGCTTCCCAGCTATCCAGTATCCTTGCCCCCTCTCTGTAGCAGAATCCCCCCCCCCCCAGCTACTGCTGTACTACCCATTGTGGTGGCAGAATTTGGGGTGAGCTGCTGTAACTTCTCAAGGGATATATTCTGTGTTGGACTGTGATGTTATGCCTTTCATAGACTCCTGGTATGTCTGCACCCTAACACAAGGCCATTGTGTTCTGGAACTGTTGCTTGTATAAAATAACTTGTGTAAACAATATTATTGTATTATCACCTCCCACTATATAAGGGACATTTACTCTTCAAGTTCTTCCCTGTGAAATCAGAGAGATCTCCCTCGCAGCTGCTTGATTAAAGATGTTTCTGTTGTGCAATTAAATAGTCTCTGCCTTAATCTTTGGATCGAGTTTTCCACAACATTTAGTGCCGTGTCCCGAATGAGAGCGACCTGACTTTTTCCATCCGTTTCGCTCGCTTGGTCCCAGACATCCCTCTGGCCACAATAGCCCCCCACCAAAAAAGAGAGACCTTATTCAAACATTTCTGTGAGGGACTGTCTGTTTTCCAGCCGAGCCTTAATGGTGAAAGATCTGTCCTCCTCATCCATGCCATTTTGGGGTTCAATTTGGCAGAACTATGTCCCTATAATAATGAATCTGACCGGTTAACATTGATCAATGGGAGCACAGTGGTTTCTTCAATAGTAGTGACCGGTTTGACCTATAATCACGTGAAATATACTGTTGGACCAGTGCAGTGCATTCGGAAAGTATTCAGACCCCTTGACATTTTTTTTTACGTTACAGCGTTATTCCAAAATGGATGAAATAAAAAGAAAAATCCTTATCAATCTACACATAGAAATGTTTGCAAATATATTACAAATAAAAAAACAGATACCTTATTTACATAAGTATTCAGACCCTTTACTATCAGACTCGAAATTGAGCTCAGGTGCATCCTGTTTCCATTGATCATCCTTGAGATGTTTCTACAACTTGATTAGAGTCCACCTTTGCTATATTCAATTGATTGGACATGATTTGGAAAGGCACACCTGTCTATAGAAGGTCCCACAGTTGACAGAGAAAAAAACCAAGCCATGAGGTCGAAGGAATTGTCCGTAGAGCTTCGAGACAGGATTGTGTCGCGGCACAGATCTGGGAAAGGGTACCAAAACATTTCTACAGCATTGAAGGTTCCCCAGGAACACAGTGGCCTCCATCATTCTTAAATGGAAGAAGTTTGGAAACACCATGATTCTTCCTAGAGCTGGCCGCCCAGCCAAACTGAGCAATTGGGGGAGAAGGGCCTTGGTCAGGGAGGTGACCAAGAACCCGATGGTCCCTCTGACAGAGCTCCAGAGTTCCTCTGTGGAGATGGGAGAACCATCCAGAAAGACAACCATCTCTGCAGCACTACACCAATCAGGCCTTTATGGTAGAGTGGCCAGACGGAAGCCTTTTCCTCAGTAAAAGGCACATGACAACCCACTTGGAGTTTGCCAAAAGGGACCTAAAGGACTCTGACCATGAGAAACAAGATTCTCTGGTCTGATGAAACCAAGATTGAACTCTCTGGCCTGAATGCCAAGCGTCACGTCTGGAGGAAACCTGGCACCATCCCTACGGTGAAGCATGGTGGTGGCAGCATCATGCTGTGGGGATGTTTTTCAGCGGCAGGGACTGGGAGACTAGTCAGGATCGAGGGAAGATGAATGGAGCAAAGTACAGAGAGATCCTTGATGAAAACCTGCTTCAGAGCGGTCTGGTCTTCAGACTGGGGCGAATGTTCACCTTCCAACAGAACAACGATCCTAAGCACACAGCCAAGACAACGCAGGAGTGGCTTTGGGACAAGTCTCTGAATGTCCTTGAGTGGCCCAGCCAGAGCCCGGACTTTAATCCTATTGAACATCTCTGGAGAGACCTGAAAATAGCTGTGCAGCGACGCTCCCCGTCCAACCTGACAGCGCTTGAGAGGATCTGCAGAGAAGAATGGGAGAAACTCTCCAAATACAGGTTTGCCAAGCTTGTTGCGCCATACCCCAATAAGACTTGAGGCTGTAATTGCTGTCAAAGGTGCTTCAACAAAGTACTGAGTAAATGGTCTGAATACTTATGTAAATGTGATTTATATGTTTTTTTTGTGTGGAATTTGCAACAATTTCTAAAAACCTGTTTTTGCTTTGTCATTATGGGGTATTGTGTGTAGATTGATGAGGGAATAATAAAAAAAATGAATTTTAGAATAAGACTGTAATGTAACAAAATGTGGGAAAAGTGCACTGTATATTAGCAGGAATTGGATAGCCTGCAAGTAGGAAAGCATGCATGATGAACCCTCTAAGTGTCCTGCTGAAGGTGCTGATCCAGCGGGGTAAATACAACTTGCGCACCCACACGTAGATGTTTGTAAGTGGTGTAAAAGGTATTCTGATAAATGTTCCCAGTTTTCCCTTTATGGATCATTTGATAAAGATAAGGTTAAAGCAATAAACTACATCAACCTTTGGTAAAGCAACTGGACTTGACCTACACCTAACCAATAAAACTATAAACGCTTATGGGATTTCCTCAAACTTGGTAGTGCATTTTGAAACAAAACCCATGCCCTGTTCTACAGGACCAGTAAACGTTGAACAGGATTTCCTATATTCACCCACTCAACCATTTAATTTACTAGGAAGAGACTTGCTAAGAAAACTAAACGCTACGATTTATTGTACTTCCGATGGAATTTTTGTTGATATCCCTAACGATGACATTGTAAATCATTTCGTGAGTACACAAATTGAACCACTCCCCAAGATGGATTTTAAACCTTACACTAGGGGTAAAAGCAAAACATTGTTGGGAGTGATCCTGGTGTATTAGCAGTAGTGATTGAAAGGGTTTTCCTATTGGAAAGAATGAGAGGCGGCCCTTTTGTTTTAGACGTGGGGGGTACATAACCTGGTGGGTGGTCTGGGGGTCCTCCCCCATAATTTTTTGGGGCCATCTAAAGCTCATTTCCTGCATTTTTACAATATCCATTATGCCGTCTCCATTTAGAACAAAAAGTAAGCAAAAATGCCCACGGTCATCAAACTAGGTAAGAGACCATTAATAAATATGTTTAAGTGATTTAATAATACTGAACTAGATCAAAGGTAATTCAATAATAAATATTGTGTTGCACCTTCAACCAAAAGCCTAACAAATGAACAATTCTTGAAAAATACAAAGCTTTATGATTGTCTTTATGAAGACATTCTCTATATCAAATTTCAGCCAGACCGACCTGCCAGCCGAGCCGCCTGCACGCCCGACCCCCACCAGTCTACTCAATAACTCAACTCTCTCCCAACACAATTTCCTTCCCAGTTCACACCTTTATTTTTTTAATTCCCAAGGGAAAGGTTTGAAACAAAAAACTAAATAAAATAAAAACACATACACCTTAAATATACATTAACACACAGAAACAGCAAATCATCCATATAATTAATCTCGTAGGACTAATAGTACTGTAGAGCTCTTTCTACTTACACACAATATAGCTGGGTCACCCCGTCCTGCCCCTAGGGGTCCACGGCCCTGTAGCGCCCCAACCCAACACACCCCACTCATCTTTAGGATGTTAGTGAAACATTCATTATTGGTTTCAAGTGTGTTAGGTCAAGGCCAGAGTGACAACCCACAGGACGGCAGACCTCCAGGGCCAGGACTGAGCAGCCCAGCAGCTAGGGATTGCCTAAATACAGTGGGGAGAACAAGTCTTTGATACACTGCCGATTTTGCAGGTTTTCCTTCTTACAAAGCATGTAGAGGTCTGTATTTTTATCATAGGTACACTTCAACTGTGAGAGACGGAATCTAAAAAAAAAAATCCAGAAAATCACATTGTATGATTTTTAAGTAATTAATTTGCATTTTATTGCATGACATAAGTATTTGATCACCTACCAACCAGTAAGAATTCCGTCTCTCACAGACCTGTTAGTTTTTCTTTAAGAAGCCCTCCTGTTCTCCACTCATTACCTGTATTAACTGCACCTGTTTGAACTCGTTACCTGTATAAAAGACACCTGTCCACCCACTCAATCAAACAGACTCCAACCTCTCCACAATGGCCAAGACCAGAGAGCTGTGTAAGGACATCAGGGATAAAATTGTAGACCTGCACAAGGCTGGGATGGGCTACAGGACAATAGGCAAGCAGCTTGGTGAGAAGGCAACAACTGTTGGCGCAATTATTAGAAAATGGAAGAAGTTCAAGATGATGGTCAATCACCCTCGGTCTGGGGCTCCATGCAAGATCTCACCTCGTGGGGCATCATTGATCATGAGGAAGGTGAGGGATCAGCCCAAAACTACACGGCAGGACCTGGTCAATGACCTGAAGAGAGCTGGGACCACAGTCTCAAAGAAACCATTAGTAACACACTACGCCGTCGTGGATTAAAATCCTGCAGCGCACGCAAGGTCCCCCTGCTCAAGCCAGTGCATGTCCAGGCCCGTCTGAAGTTTGCCAATGACCATCTGGATGATCCAGAGGAGGAATGGGAGAAGGTCATGTGGTCTGATGAGACAAAAATAGAGCTTTTTAGTCTAAACTCCACTCGCCGTGTTTGGAGGAAGAAGAAGGATGAGTACAACCCCAAGAACACCATCCCAACCGTGAAGCATTGAGGTGGAAACATCATTCTTTGGGGATGCTTTTCTGCAAAGGGGACAGGACGACTGTACCGTACTGAGGGGAGGATGGATGGGGCCATGTATCGCGAGATCTTGGCCAACAACCTCCTTCCCTTAGTAAGAGCATTGAAGATGGGTCGTGGCTGGGTCTTCCAGCATGACAACGACCTGAAACACACAGCCAGGGCAACTAAGGAGTGGCTCCGTAAGAAGCATCTCAAGGTCCTGGAGTGGCCTAGCCAGTCTCCAGACCTGAACCCAATAGAAAATCTTTGGAGGGAGCTGAAAGTCTGTATTGCCCAGCGACAGCCCCGAAACCTGAAGGATCTGGAGAAGGTCTGTATGGAGGAGTGGGCCAAAATCCCTGCTGCAGTGTGTGCAAACCTG